ATCGTGAAGAAATCGAATAGCAGAAGGGTTATGTGCTTGGATTTGAACTTGACTCCATTGGAGAATGATATGGAATTGTTTAAGCTTGGGAAGGCAGCTCTGGCAATAGATTGCTTCTTCTAAACTCTTCCGTTCTTATAATAATTTTTTTAATGAATTTTTGGTTAATTTTGTCACATCAATATGGTATAAGGATGAATAGAAGATAAACGACATTTATTTATGTTCACGTTTTCGCCATCTTTCTGGGTTTGATATTTTATGGTTAAAATATGTTTCAAGTCTTTGTACTCTTTGTACATTTAGAATTTAGTCCTTCTATTTTTTTAGTTTCAAAATTTAAGTCCAGTTGTTAACGTTATTTTTTGGGTTAAATTTAGGTTTATTATAATGCTACATTTTATTCCATGTCTTACAAGTTAGTATTTCTTTTATTTCAAAATATCATATTAGCGAATTTAATAAAACCATCTTAACGATTTTAATAATTGGACTTGAATTTTTAAGTCTAAAATGTAGAGAGATTAAATTTCCAAAATTAAAAGTATGAGGACTAAACTCCAATACTTATTTACATCAATATAATGTACCGACCAGAAACATCAGTAAATCTCATTCTTGTAACACGTCTTATTTTTTCTTGGGTTGATTTGACATTTATCTCTCCAAATATCATTTATAAGGTTATCTCGTTGATCTATTCCTGCCTTTTGATCATCGAATTTAATATTAATAAATATTCGTAATTATCAAAGATAGATCACGATAAATTTTTAGTATGATCATTTATAAGGTTTTCTTTTCTTTTTTTTAATAAAAATATTATTACATTTATAAAAAACCATAATTTCTCTTAAATTACAAAAAAAACCTAAATTCCTAAAAATCCTAAATCCCTTACCCTAACCCGCCGCCGACGTAGTCTCTACCATCTTCCTAGTCATACGCCACCATAGTTGCCGCCGATTGGTCGTCGGGATTGCTTGGGCGCGATTTTTAGCCTAGGGTTCGCAGGATACAAAACATAGATTCGTCGTCGATTGGTCGTTGATTGACCGCGATTTCATGGGGTTATCGGTCGTCGGGGGGAGGTGAGCTCGGGTGGAGATTCATCGGCGGCAAAGGCCGGCAGTTGGCGTGGGTTTAGGTGTTGAAATGAAGATTTTCAAAGTTTTAGGACTATTTCAAAATTTGTGTGTGTGTGTGTGTTTTTTTTTTGAAAATATAATTTTAATTTTTTAATTTAAAATAAAAATTTTAAAATTACCAAAATATGACACGTGCCACTTAACATGGAAAATCAACACCAATTACGGGCTGAAAAACCACTGAAAGTGGTAACGTTTGTAACGTTACACACCTAGATCATTCAAAAATAATTGAACACCTATTCGTGAAAAACACTTATTTTATAATTAAGCCTATTGGTTCCCACATATGTATAGATATATATAAATATATTAGCTGACCCTATTCCCCATACGTAATGGGGTAAGGGGGAGGTAGGGTAGTAAGTTGCCCCCAACGTCAGGTTGAGAGCAGCTTCCGTAGAAGACCTCCGTTATGAATTACCCTCAGTGGGACTCGATCCCACGACCACAAGATTAAGAGCCTTACACTCTACCAACTGAGCTAGATGGACAATTCAAATATGTATAGGTATATGATTTCATCAAATCCATCAAACATAAAAATAGTCTAGAAAAGAGTCGAATTATGAGAGGGGCGAATCGTTTAACTTCTATGATTGAATGAGTCTTTAACTTTAAAATAAATAGGATCTTAAAAGTAATCAAATCATAAACAGTAAGAGATTAAGGATTTAATTTCATAAATTTTAAAATTTAAAGGTCTTAAAATGTAATTAAACCAAACAAACTTGGAATTAAGGCATAATTTCATTAATTTTAAAACTAACAGTCTGCTGAAAAAATAATTATACCAAAATTTTTGGAAAAGACAGACTTAATTGCAATGATTTTAAAAGCTATCAGTGGCTTAAGAGATAATTAGACCATCAAGGTTGGGGCTATTACCCCTCCTAGCTATAATGTAAGTCCGTCGTTGCCAACGTATTGGTTTCAGAAATATTTTTGACAGTGAATATACATATATTAACGTAAAATAGATGAACACAAATAAAATTTAAGAGTAAATATAACTAATAAAATAAATAATCAATCGGTGAAAAACTAAAATTTTAAGATGAACAACAACTCCTCCATTACTATTTTTGCTATATATCGTCCTGAAAGGTTAAAGTAAGGTTTTTATATTCATATATTCGAATAAAAATAAACTAAATCAATAAAATAATTAATTAATTAAAGAAAATTCAAAATTTAAGATGATCACGTATCGACCCTCACCAAATTATGGCTCCGCCACTGTATGTATCCATTTAGATATTACAATTAACAATTAATCTATTGATTCTCAACTCAATGTAAAAGAATATTACATCACTAATGAAATTGACAAATAAATAATAATAAATAAAATAAATATATTTTTTATTTAAAAGGTAATAATAATGGATTATTATTCAACGCATTAGCATTGAAAAAATCCACAAGCAAGTTTCAAATACTGTTTATAAAGTGTTTTTTTCCAATATCAATGTTTGAGATAAAATCGTTAATATATTATTATAAATATTATATATTTTTTAATTAGTTTAATATTTTATTTATCAAATATAACATATCTTTTATTATCATTTTTAAAAATAATACGATTCATGCGTTTTCTTTATAACTTATTTGATAAATATATTTAAACATTATACTTGAAATCAAAATATATTTAAATATATTAGAAGTTGTTTTTTTTTCATCTTTAAGTGCACATATGTTTTAACGATTAAAAAATATTCTAAATAAAAATTTATCTTATTAACATCTTAAACTATTATAAAATATTTTGTATATTCTATATTATACAAATTTTATAATTTAAAATAAATTAAATAAGTTAATTTAAATCTTAATTTATATGTTTATTAATTTTATGGTATTCAGTATTTAATATGAATACAAAACACTCCACGTCATCAGGGTAAAAATAAGAAGAAATCAGTAAATCGAGGGGAAACAGTTACAGCGTACGGTACACAGTAAAAAGAAAAGCATTAAAATTTCTGGGCAAAAGAGATATATGTAATTAAAAAATAATTAATGTGGTTATTATATTATTTTTTTCTTTAATGATATTTTAACTTAAAAATAAATTTAATGTAATTCTTTTATCGTCTTATGTCATTAACTGTTATGAAATTGACGTGATAAATCATTACAGTGATGTGATAATCCATAATACTGATATGATAATTTACAATAGTTAATAATATAAAACTATAACATCAATATCATAACAGTCATTAACTGTAACAATGCTAATGTGATAATTCTAACGACGTGATTATCCACAATACGAATATGATAATCGACAATAATTAATAATATGACAGATGAACTAAATTTATAACTCAAACATTATAAATAAATTAAATTTGTAACTCAAACATGACATATAAATTATCATATCAACACTATAAATCGTTACGTCAATACTATAAACTATCACACCGATATCGTATCAATCAACAACAAAAATATTAATCAAAATATCACAATAAATATATATTTTAATTTAAAAAATATATTAAAAAATAATACGATAATCAAGTTAATTTTTTTTCAAAATTACTCTCATGCTTTTTTGTCAAATTTCTGAGCAGATGCAAAACTATTGGTGTTCCCTCTAAAAACTAAAGATGGAAACGAGAGCCGTTGATAACAAAACAGGCAACCCGAAAACCCGAGAGCAGAGACGACAACCCGAGAAACAAAAACCCGGCAAAACCCAACGCCACCGATATGTCGGATTGCACGCATAACGAGTTCGACGTCGTACACGTGTCCGTACACCTAATCCCATTTTAAAAAGTAAAAGTAAAGGTTAAATTTCATAAAAGGTACTTTTATTATCGTTTTTTTAATAAATTTAGCATTCAATAACAATTTACTTATTTTTTAAATTTTTTACATTTCAATATATATATATATATATATATCACAAAAGTTATTTACATCATTCTTTCATAAATTATAATTTTCATTTTAAATTAATTATTTAACTTTTGAACATTTTAAGTTCATTTCCAAATTATGAATATCAACTTAAATTAAACTTTCACTCCCAAAATCATTCAAAAAAATTGGATATGAAATTGATATATTCAAAAGTTCAAATAATAATGATACGTTTGGTTCACGGAATATAAGATTACCAGTGAGAATGTAAGATTATCAGAGAATAAGATTATTAAGAATATTTTATTTTATGTTTAATTGGTTTAACAGGAATATAAGATTACCGTGTTTGGTTAAATGAATAAAAGATTATTAGAATGTATATTTGACCAAATTATATTTATTATATATTTGTTTTTTAACAAGTTAAAAAATATTTATATATATTTTTTAAAATTTTTAAATTAATATAATTAATATATTTTTGTTTTTACAAAATTAAAAATATAAAAATATTTAATAAAAAGATAAAATTTTATTTTAACTCCTGAACTTCTTATAAAATTTTAATTATATAATTTTTTTTGTAAAATTTAAAGATAAATTTGTAATTTAAAATTCGTAAAATTTTTATTATTAAATAACAGAAGAAAGATATTTTTGAAAAAAAAATTAAGAGTATTTTAGTCTAAAACGCTGGTAATTCAACAATACCTAAATAAAGGGAGGTAATAACATTCTCGGTAATATACCTAAAAAAATCTACTATTAATAATAAAATATTACCGGAAATGAGATTCCCGACCAACCAAACATGAGAATGTGGATTTCATTCTTATGCGAATCCTACATTCATTGATCCAAACACCTCCTAATAGTATAAAATAAGAATCACAACTTTGGGATGAATTTGAAATGTCCAAAAGTTCAAAGACTAAATTTGTTAAAAACATAATGGACTTTTTATGTAATTTGACCAAAGTGTTGAAGTTCAGGAATTTCGATTAATGATAAAGAAGGAAACCTGATCGTGGCCGAAGTCGAACCAGACTTGAAGGATTTCAGGGAAGAGGGTGGCGCCGGTGGAGATCTCCCAGACGGAAACGCCCATTTAGAACAGCGAATACAAAGCCACGATTGCGTTCGCCGCGAAAACGAATCTGCGGTAAGATTTCGCGTTTCCGTTTCAATTCTTAAGCCCTTCTTTCAAATTTTGTTTATAGAATTCAAATCTCAAAAGGAACATGAAATCGAAACCGAAATTAGATGATTGTTTTTTTTTAATTTGAATTACGAGATAAAGAAACGAACTAACCTGAAAGCGTCGAAATCGAACCAGTGAGGGGAATCGGAGCCGCGGGAGTTGGTGACCATGAAGACGGAGGAAGCAAGTGAGAAAGTGAAGGCGGTGACTCGGAAGACGAGAATCAGCGAGTTGAATCTTCTGAGTTTACGGAGCGTGACGGTGTTGTGGAAGTGAGGGGCGGGATTCCGGTGGTGCGGGGAAGGTGTGTCGCCGTTGCGGAAACCCTGCGGCGACCGCATGATGATGATGATGATGATGAACGGATGTGATTGTTTAGCGATTGGAGGTAAGCTGGGACAGTCATGAGAAGAAATAGGAAGGAATTTGGAGGAGGAGAGGAAGGGAAGAGAACTCACGGGGAGGAGAGGTGGGAGTCACGGGGAGAAGAATGAGTATTAGATGAAGTATAAGATATACCAAGTAAATAGAAATGAAGAATTGTCCGTCCAGTTTAATTGGTAGAGCGTAAGACTCTAAATCTTATGATTATAGGATTGAATCTCACGGTATGCAATTTATAATGCTGGAGGTCTCCTACGGAAGCTACTCTTAACTTGATGTTGGGGGCAACCTATTATCTTACCTCCCTTACCTCATTATATATAGTAATAGGGTCAACTAATTTTTTTATTTTCAAGTAAAATAGAAATGAATATTTTGATTTAAATTTAAGTTTAGGTTTTATCTCAAAATAGAGAGTCGGATCAGATTCAGATAAATGATATAAATTTTTTTAGATAAATTGATTTTATTATCAAAAAACCAAAGTCAGATATATATTTTTATAATAAAAAAATATATATATTTTTAAATCGAATTAGATTGATCAAAATCTCGATCGAACCTGACCTATGACTATCCCAAATTATAGTATACATGTAAAGGGGTGCCACTAAGGAGCAATGGAAATGTAATATCGTTAAACAAGACTTTCTTCAGTTTCACTGTCGTCCCCACTTTCACAATTTAAGCTAGTTTTGGCACACCAGGTGCCTGCCTTTTCAGTTCCCACTCATTGGGTCTTGTGCTGCACGCTCTCTGCTGGTGAAATGGCAACTCTTTCTTCCTTTCATATTAGCTTTCCACGTGTCTTTCTCTGATTGACCAGAAAATTGTTTTGGGAATTCAAGATATCCACGTCTTACAATCATGTCTGAACACAAGTATAACAAATAATTATGCAAAGACTTTATGTTAAAAAAATTAAATATAATTGAATGATTATTTTCATATATATATATATATATATATATATATATATATATTTAGAATATTTTAATCTCACACATTTTATTGTAGAGTAAAAATGGCATATTTTGAAGTGGTAATAATTTGTTAACCAATAGTTTTCATTTATAAAAGAATATTTTTACCTAAAAAAATCTTTAAATTTTAAAATGCTAAAAAAAATTAGTGTCAAAACGACCATTTTAATAAATGACAGAGGCTATTTTTAGTATTATGCCTTTTATATTTAGGGGTGAGCATTTAAAAGTTCAGTAAGGAGATGAATTTATAAAATTTTAAAAAGGGGAAAAACAAATTATTAATTAAAATAAAAAAATATATAAAATATATGATAATTTGATATTATTATGAGATAACTTTTCTCTCGATCCATTTCTAAAAATAACTATGCCAATTAGATACTTATATTCAACCCTAATATCCGAATTAATTGAAAACTATGATGAGGAATCAATGCATAAATAACACGTTACTAGTTTTGTCATTGTTTAAATAATAAAACCGGTAAAAAATTATCGGTAATATTTTTATTTTTACCTAAAACATCATTTTTTTTAATATTTTCGGTCATTTTTTTAAAAATCCGGTTAAAACGCCCAATAATAATAAAACCGGTCATTTTTAGCGCCTAATAATGTTTTCGGTCATTTTTACCTGTTTTGTTATTGTTTAGTTTTGTTATTTAACCAATAACAAAATCAGTAACACCCTTTTTTAACCGTATATTAAGACTGCTTCACGTGAACCTTTCACATGAATAATTATTTTGACTTTTGCACACAATGTACCCATGTTCAGAACCAGCACTTGTCAGAATGGAATGCGAGAATATTGGTAAAGATCATATTTCCCTACCATGATATTCATATTTGTTAATATGAGTAATGTAGTTATGATTACGGTTGACGATTCAATCCTTTTGATTTAAATTAGGAATTGTAATTGACGGTGACATAACGCGTCAAATTTAAAATTATGATTATTTTTTATAGATCTATAGAGTGAATAAATACATATTAATCAATAATTTTGAGTCATAATAGATTTTTAAAATTTTTCGATTGTCTTATCAAAGTGTAATGGTTAATCATAGAGCACCAAAAAAATTCTTTGGAAGTATAATATTTGATTTCGAAAGGACAATAATATTTGAATAAGTGTAGATACATATTCAAACACAAATGCTAGAGAGGGATCCACTTTATATATATATATAATTTTAAAAAAATTAAATAGTTTTTTTAATATTGTTTTTACCTTTAGAAATGTAAGCTTGACTTCATGGCTATCAAAATTTACCTTGAGAAGGTCTATGTCCGTCTCGAGTGGTCTTTTATTGATGACACTTTAAGGGACCTCAATTTATCGGACAGTTTCAGAATACTTATACGGCAAATTTTATCAGATAATGGTGTGGAAAAAAATTTCATGAGATAATGTTGCTGGAGAATTATTTGTTGAGATAGAGTGTTTGCTACAGTTCGAACGGAGGTCGCCAAGCCGTCCCCATGACCTGTGCTGAGGTCGCCATGTGATCCCATCCAGCTGTAGGTCGCCATGCAAGCACCACGACATGGAGGTTGTGATTGTTTCATCTCTGTAAATTGCTTCTATATGGAGTTTAAAATATTGAAAATTTGTTCCAATTGTTACTTTATCGTTCAATATTTTTTATTAAATCGATTTAATGAATTTAATTATTTATTTGTAAGCAAAACAAATAGATGCTATAATGATATTCTATCCTTTTTTCTGTAAAGGCTTACAAAGAATTCATTGGATGAAGCACAGCACTTGTGAATGAACCAAAAGAGCTGTTGCAAACCTCCAGGTCGTGGTGCTTGCATGGCTACCTATAGGGATCACATGGCGACCTTAGCACAGGTCGCAAGGACGGCTTGGTGACATGTGTTTGAACTGTAGCAAACACCCTATCTTAGCAAATAATTCTCCAACAACATTATCTCATGAAATTTTTTTTTCCACACCATTATCTGATAAAATTTCGACAATTTCGACGGGTGAATTCACGAGATAATGTTCTCGAACTTTTTTATTCACGATATAATGCACATCCCAGATTAATTGTTGGAATGGGGTGAATTCTACAGTAACCTTGGAGGTCGCCATGGCATCCGGGCGACCTTTGAGGTCGCCATGGCATCCGGGCGACCTTGGAGGTCGCCATGGCATCCGAGCGACCTGTGTGTATTTTGCAAAGGAATAGGTCGCCATGCAATCAACATGGGACGTGGGAATGCATGGGGGAGGGGATGCATGCTGTGCATGGGACGTGGGAACTGTGCATGGGCCATGCACGTCGAACGGTGTAGGTCACGGCAGCGTGGTAGGTAGGTCGCCATGGAGTCTCGGCGACCAAGGTCTGAGAGATTCCTGTAGCTGCTGCTGTAGCTGCATGCATGCGTTGCATCATAGCTGAGAGATTCCTGCACCCGTAGCTGTATGTGTTGCATCTATAGTTGCGTTATTGCAGCGTTAATTTAGCTGTCAGCCTTTCAATGCTCAATAGTTAGACGATGCAATACTAATATTATTTGCTTCAACAATCAAATTTAATGACTCTGTCCAACGCTCAGTTGCTTTATATAAAGGATATGGGGTTTAGGGTAGAAGCACAAGCAGAACCAGAAGCATAAGCACATATAAACTTTGCCGAGAAAAAGAAAAGGAAGAAGAAGAAAAGAAGATAAAGGCTCAAACATAGTTCGTGAGGTAATTTTTTTATTGTTTAATTTAGTTTATTATATGAAATTATTAGTTTGTTAGTTTCGGGTTTAGGGTAAAACTAAAATCTAGTAATTAGTTTGTTAGTATAAATTATTAGTTTGTTAGTTTAAGTTATATTATATTAGTTTATTAGTTAAGTTATATATTATTATATAAAAAATTAGTTAATTAGTTTCTTAGTTTAAGTTATTAAATATAAAAAATATTAATTAATTTGTTGGTGTCTTTAAACGTATATTAGGTTGTTCGTTGAAGTTGAAGTTATATTATAAAAAAAATTAATTAGTGCTTAATTAGTTTGTTATTTTAACTAAGTTATATTATAATAAAGAAATAGTTTATTAGTTTAAGGTATATTATAATATATTAGATTATATAAAATTAATTTGTGGGAGCTATTGTTGTTTAAATAAATATTTTGTTTACACATACAGGACATTATTTCACAATATTTGCCCACGTACAGATTGATTCGAAGAAAGAAACAAGGCAGGAAAAGAAAGTAAAGGAAGAAGGCATAAAGACGTGAGTAATTTATTATTTTTGTTGTCCATTTTTTGTTGTTGTGTATGTGTAAATTAGTTAGTTAGTAAGTTTATATTAGATTATATAAACTAATTTGTGCGAGATAATTTCCGTTTTAAAAATATTGTGTTTAAAAATATTTAGTTTTGTTTTAAAAATATTTTGTTTAATTTACATTGTATGTGTATATTAGTAAGAAGTAAAAATTAATTGAATGAAATAATCCGGACAACGCATTATCTCGCGAAATAATTATTTCGAGAACATTATCTCGACAGTTTTGCCTAACAAATTTGTTTGATATTTTTAAAAAATAAAAAATATTATCAAACTAATCATTATTATTAGTAATAATTACTAAATGATTAGTATCAAATCTAAATCATTAAATATTTATAATAAATAATTATTAGTGATTATGACTAAATCATATTATTATTAAATCATTAAATATCAAATCATTAGATTAATAGTAATTATCAAATCATTATTAGGTTTATTAGTAAGCAATCAATCAAGTTAAATAATAAATTTTATTTGATCATTAATATAATAGTATATATATTATATTAATAATTTATGAAATTATCTTATCTAATTTTTTAATCTAAATTAATTTATTTTTTTATTTGTAGAGAAAATGAGCAACAACTTTTTCACGATTGTCCATTATAATGGACAGATTATGGAAAATGAGGTCGGAGTAGTTTTTCAGTCTGAAAAACCAATAAATATGATGTTCAAAAAAGACATCACATTTATAGAAATGAAGCATAAGATAGAAAGAAAAATTTGAGCTGCAGTTGATGGTTTGAGGTATAGGTTTAT